ATAACTTCTTCCAGATAACTTTGTCGCAGATATGGAAGATTTGGAATCAGCTCGTCAAGACGCAACTAATGGTAAGCGGTTCATTCCAATTCGCCACCTTAAGTTGGGATCGTTCCCTTGTAAGATTCGGCATCTTGAGGTGGCAATTGTTACTTGAAGCCGTAAAATGGCTGAACAATTTTATATTAGCTTTATTGTTTGTTCCATATTCCACTGCAGGAATTAGAATTGGTTGCCGAATATCCTTATTTGGGCATTGCAAATGAGCCATTTTCCCTCATGAGAATTTGAAAAAGTAACACCTTCAATCAAATATCCCTAAACTGATCAAAAAGTGATGGGGCACCTAGAGAAATATAATTATATGTTGGCTAAAAATTAATATCGTTTTAACATGAAAATCTTCATAAAAACTGTCGTAGTTGTTTTTTATCCATGATATTTTGTGGATAAGTAATTCAAAGCTTCTTCTATCACTATCAAAACTATTCAGAGTTTTAAATGATCAGTAAGGGACAGTTATGTCACAACATGGCTAAAATTCCGAAAGCTTAAATCTGCAACTTTCGAAGCTTCGTTTTCATGTTCTAATGAATGTAGAAAACAGCAATTTGGTATTCCGACAGCTTTTCTCTAATTAGCGACTATTGATAAAAATTGTGATCTGCAGTTTCAAGATTCTTTGACTCAAAAAACCAAATTTTCTCATGTTTGCGCATAATGAGAAAATTGGAATTTTCACTTCTTTGTTAATTTATTTCATTGCAAAATAAATTCTATTCGAACAGATTCTACTTTCCAAATCCCATTGAGGTGCTCTTTCCAGCGGTACCGGATACTAGGCAAAACATTATCTGCAACATCCGTAGGACCTGCAAAAAACACCTTATTTATTAGCCAACCTAGGTAATACAATTCATAGGTGCGATAGTGTGAGAATTTGCTCACCCTCCTTTACCCCTGAACCGGGACCAAGGTGACCTTCTTCACCAAAAGCCGAGAAGAAATCAACAGTGAAGTAAGGCTAAGCAAAACAGATATTTGTGCGGGAATTGTTTATGTCGGAAAGGAGGAAAAAGATTTGCATAGATTCACTAACTTCCAGAAAGAAAAAAATAGTAGCTTCTATAATTGCACAGCAACGTCAGCGAGGAAAGTGTCATGGAACAACGTTCCCTCTGGTTTCACGGAATAGATATAATAGTTTGAGAGTTCGTTCATAGAATTACCTAGTAATAGGTATGCCTAGTGACTTCTGGACACTTAGGAGTTTCTAACATAGAAAATTCATAAATTTTGTACATGAATAGCTTTTGCATGGAAATAGTCAACATCGGAGCCGCCTCGTCCTCCGTTTTCAGAAAATATGTAGCATGTCTGAGATCCGTTCAATAAAGGGCCTGGGTGAAGGGTGTGCCCTGTGATTCTTGGACGATGAATTCATAACTTTTGTTGATGTAGATGAACGTCTTGTACGCCGAGATAGTCATCATTAGAACCGTCTCGTCCTCCGCTTTTAGAAAATATATACTTTAACTGGTGTCCGTTAAAGAAAGTGCCGAGTGAAGAGTGGGTGAGACCTTTACAATGGGAGAGGTCAAGTGGCTTTTTTACCATTGTGAAAAGAGTTTACTTGAGCACTCTGATTATAAAAGTCTCACCCACCCTTCACCCGGCACTTTTTTGACGGACCCCAGGCAAAATATATATTTTCTAAAAGCGGGGGAAGAGGCGATTCTAAAGGTGGGCATTTCCATGTACTATCTTTCATTCACAAAAGTTACAAATTTTTTAATGATGAATCGGAAATCCCCAGAAATCACCACCCACACCCTTCACCTGGCACTTTTTCTAAAGAATCCAGGCAAACTATAATATACAGGGTGTCCTAAAAGTAAGTATACACTTTTCGGGTGTATGACTTTATGAACGATAGCATGTGCCAGCCGCCAGCTGGGTACCATACGCGGTGCGCTGATCGCCCCGCCCTTTGTTAATTAGCTTAGGAATGCGCTGCAGCCATTGGAACTCTTCCTTCATGCTTCTTCAGTAGGTTGCAATTTGAAACAATAGATTTCAAAACTTCAGTTGAATTAAAAACCAGTTTTCAGGTCTTTTTTCATTATGAATTAGTTCGTAAGCGATTTTCAATGTATTTCAGTTACTTGTTTCTAGTAGGTTTGTCCAAATTGTGAAAAGTGTTTTTCTTTATTCACATCTGTTACTACACTGAATATTCTATACCAGTGCGTCACCTCTGCTTCGCAGAGGCTCGCACTGGCCCTACTTTCTGTATGTCTTACTCATTCCCGCATAATAATGACATTGAAACTCACCGCGCTATGCAGGCTATCAAGAATAACTTGTAAACAACTACTCATTCCGAGAGCTTTTTTGTGTGAGATCGGTATTTTCGCGTGGATGAAACTTTTCCGAGAAGAATAAATGCAAATTTGAATCGGTTTTTGGACTTTTTATGGTTTGGTAGTCGCCATAACGACGGCGATCACCGTGGACTACATCTCTGTGCAAAAATCTTCTCAAATGATCAGGTAAACTCTCGGCAATTTGAACATTAACGCAACTACTTTTTTTCGGCGTCATTTTCGTAAAGTAATCAACTTTAGTTCAATTTTTTGGGCTAAAGTCCATGGTTTGCACATTAACTTGTTAATCATATCCATAACTTCGCAAAAAGTGGTGATGCAGGCCCCATTTTGCTGGTCAGAAGCCAAGTGGATCCGCTTAAAGCGCATTTTTAGAGGGATCCACCCAACGGATCCACTCGTGCTTTTGCATAGCGAACTTTCATGCTGCTAGCATGCACCACGCAAAATTTGGGCTCCGGACGTTGGCTGGAACACGCTCCTCGAATTTCGTAACGGACAGACAGACACACACACACACACAAAAAAACGTAAACACCCTTAGCCCGTTATTATAAGTTATGATTGTGCACTCTCAAGCTTAGTTCAAAAAAAGTCAGCTTATCGGGAAGCATTATTATCATTGCTGAAATGACCAACACGATTGTAGTCAACTTCACCCCAGCTTGCAACAAGCTTATGGCTCACTATCAGAAGTTGCTTTCACTTGACTAGGGAACATGGCCATGAACCAGTGCTAGAGCTGTACTGCAAAAAACTCGTCCATCTTGCGATAGGCGGGGCTAATGGTGCGCACCTTATTGACACAAGCCTGCCTAAGCGCGCTATCGTTCATAAAGTCCTCCACCCCACTTTTCAGTCGTCAATATCCCTCTTCCCAATGGGTCTTTTTTGCCAGTCAAGTACCATTATTTAGAGGAGGCTTCAACTTAGATTTACAGTATTGGACGAATCACCGATCTCTTTTCGTTACTGTAGGATTACCGTAAGAACTTCCAGCATGCGGAACCATTGTGAATTAAGCAATCTGACAAAAAAAATTTTAAGAGGTCAGAAAAATCTTGTACTAGGGTTTTCGCTCACGCTGATTCCACTGCATAACTTTTTAAGAGTGTTTTCAGCCTTTTTGACGGTGTAATCACTTTTGCGACAAGTACTGGGAATTCGGTTATTACGGTTTACGTGGGACAACCTTGGAAAGAAGCATCATAGTAAAGTGGGAATTTCATATTCGAAATCTGCGGCTTCCATTACCATATTATAAGAGTTTTTGGCTTGTTTTATTTTGTTCCGAGGCAGAATATGGCTTCCAAGGGCATAGAATCCTTGTCGAAGTTCCTACACTAATCCTACAGTATTGAAGAGAGATCGGCAATTTGCATGAAACTGCGAATCTAAGTTGAAGCCTCCTCTACAGAATGGTGCTTGAATGGCAGAAAAAGATACAATGGGAAGATAGAATTAACGATTGAAGAGTGTGTACTTACTTTTGGGACACCCTGTATATCCTTCGAAAGCGAAGGACAAAATGATTTTAAAAACAATTTTCTTGCTGATGCTGCTGTTCATCTATAGAAACTACGAATTTTCTTCTAGAAAATGCGCAATTGCTTGAAAATTGTTTAACTTTCAGAAAAAATATTCTCGCATGCACATCTTCTATTCTAATTTCAAAAACAGGCGCTGTGATGTAAAAAAGGGAAAAGGAAAATGCAAATAATTACGAGGTGCTGGTCAGAAACACAACTGTGTGCTAATTCGGCAGCACATTCACATTTCAGGAAAGAAAGACAACCAGTGATGGCAAGGAATTGAGAATTATAAACTTTGTTTTGGAAAAATGATGAGGGAACACCATGGCTCCCCCCTCCCCCCGGTAGACATTTCATATTCTCTACCAAGTGAAACACCCTTCACCCGGAAAAGCTGCGACCGCTGTGACCCTTCATCCTAGAGGGCTCATTCTCACCTTATCGCACCCAATGCTGTAAATGCAATCTCAGTGAAAACCGAGATTGTAAGAAATCATGGGTTGACATGATGGAAACAAGAGACATGGCAAATCTCCAGAAGAACAAAAAACTCGAACGATAGAAGAGGGATAGCAAGGAATAACTCTCTTACTCATAAGTGTTTTACAAGGTTTGGATAAGCTCGATATGAAACTTAGTTCCTGTAAGCTATTTATAAGAAACAGTTATGAGGGTACAAAAAAAATTCCAACACTGAAGTTCGCCTTTATTTGGTAGTCAAAGCCTCAACGTTTGGAAATAAGTAAAAAGTAGCACTGAATTTACACTGAAATTATGCATGTGAAATTGATGGGTTGAAAACATAGGAAATTAGCCAAGCAGGCGTTCAAAGAACCTTTTCACATCCATAAATGCTAAAACAGGAAAAATATGCACTTCAAAAGTATTTGCAGTATTCTTCCTGTTTTAAAAGTTTTGTGTTCCATCTACATCTGCAGATTTATTCAAAACGCATGTGCTTTCTCAGAGGTACCAAAGTGAATAAAAACGTCTGAAAATTATGATACACAATTAACAGCATAGCATTTATCAGCGCGAAATTCTTGAAATTCAGAAAGAAAAGTGACGGCATTGGTGTTCTTTAAAACTCCGTTTCTGGTCCTTTCTTAAATTTACAAACGTAGAATCGTGTCCATTTCTTGCAGTCGTAAGTCTCCCATCTGCCACGGTTTTTGTTATCTTTGTCAACGAGCATCTGAATATATAATTAGATACATTGACCGAGGAAACTTGCGGACAAGCCTCTCTTCCTTTTCGTCGCTCATTTTCAGATAAAGAACAAAAATGAAAAAAGATCAGTTTGCTAAGATGATAGAGCTCTTTAGGAGCTACAATTCTCATATTACGCTTTCTAGACAACATAAATTCTAAAATTTCCAAAAATCTTTTGTCAAAAAAGCTCGAAAATGAGCGTGTCACAGAATCGCGGACAACAAGTCTTCGGGGGCAAAAAATTTGTTTTGGGTTCTTTTTCAGAGCGAAAAAAAGCAATCCGAAGACATTAATATACAGAGTTCTCAAGGACTATAATCTGGTTAGGCGGCGTAGCAGGAGGAACCAAAGGCTTTGTCGCCGTACCCGCAGGTGGCGATTAGGAGCGCGAGCACTATAGAGGGGATTTGGCAAAGATCCAGAAAAACTTGCAAAGAAACCTAGAATTTTAAGGAAATTCCACATAATTTTGCCTGGAAAAACGCAGGAGATACGCGGGAGGCAATCTGAAGTCCATTTTCATGACTTTTGCTGATAAAGTGAACGAACTTTAAAACAACTTGCAGCCAAAAATTCAAAAATTCCAAAAATTTACTTGGAAAATTAGTGAGAATATGGAAGGCAAATATTGATAGTTGAAAATGAGATCTTGAATTAGTAATTTTAGATTTTAAATGGTATCTATCATCTTATCAAGTAAACAAAAAGTTGTTAGCAATTGAGAAATTTCAACTTAGACTTGATAGTCCTACAACATAATGGCAAATTCCTCGCAATTTTTAGCAAATTTCGATGAGTTTTTGAGATTGTGCTCACAAAAAAAGGCGTTCTATCAAAAACTGAGACGTTGTATCACATCGACATCCGTAACGTTTCAGATTTTTTGTGATGCGTTGCAGTTTGCTCAAAGATTGCAATTCGAAGAAGAGCCCGTAAACAAAGGCATTTGAATTTTGTATGAAGATGAGGCACAGGGGTCTTCTAGTTGAATTCCGATGTGTAATACTATTCCATGCCATACTGGAAACGAATCAAGACTCAATCCAAAGAAATATTTTCAATCTTACGGATGGTTTCCTATCCAGCTGAATGCTTGTTTTCGCTTTGAAGGAACCCAAAAGGAATTCTTCGCATTTGAAAACTTATCGAGCGCGACTATGTGCGACCAAATTAAACTTTTTTTGGCACAAGATCTTTGAAATTCTCGGATCTTTCGGAAAGCGTAATATGAGGGTTGTAGTTTTTCGAAAAGCTCTATCATCCCAGCAGCCTAATCTCTTCATCCCTGTTTTCCTTTTGAAAATGAGCAACGACGAAAGGAGGGCGGTTTGTTCGCGACTTTGATGGTTACTGTATCTAGTCATGCCTTCACCTTCAATCACTAGAGACTAAAGAATCAAGCGTAATATCATGTAAACTTGCTCGAACGCAGTCTCCCCTAGAAAGGAGTCTAGGGTCTTTGCTAAATTTATTGAAATTGTAAATCGTTCCATCAGTCCACCTCCACCTGTTGCCTTTCCGTCTCAGACCTATCCATACGTAATCACTCTCTTTTTGCGCAAACTCTGCAAAGTCAAGTTATATTGTACTCGACAATCAGCCATCTTTACGGTTACAAAGCTATCCTCACTAGCAATTTGTTAGAGTGATGCTAAATAATCCACATCTGTGCTCGTTAGAATTTTCTTCGGCTCGAACTGCATTAGAAAGTACTAATTGAAGTGCCAGTTTGAATGAAATGCTAATTTCAAGCTTGCCATCCTTTTTTGCGGAACACCTCCTTGTGAAAATTCGTAACCACAAACAAAATGCAAGATCCCCGAATGATAAAAAATTCTACCAACGCTCCTCTGTGCGATAGCACAGTTTGGTCCATGCAGCCGATAGTGTTTGCAAAATCAAGCTGGTTTTTGAGACTGGACTTCTCTCAGAGTTCAGCTTAAGCAATTGAGAATGCAAAAAACCAATGCAGCACATTAACAGCCTTGCTGAAGGTAGTTTGAATTTTTACCGGATTTTTTCGCAGACCTTTCAACAGGTTTTCAGGCCTTTTCAAACCAGAATATATTTGCCCGTGCGCTTGAGACGCACGGGCGCTGCTTACGGTGACAAAAGCATAAGGTACGCGGGCTAGCTTCATTCACCATGTCTCCTTAACACATTGACGACCGCGTTTCGCGAACCGGTCAACATTTTTTAGATAAAATCACGCGTAATTTCTTCTACAGTACACCTACAGTAACTCTGGAATGCTGGCAAAAAATAGTAAAGGTTGTGTCTAGATCCAGCACAAAAGAAAATTCCCGGAGTAGGTTTAACACAAAATAGTAGCCATTTCAACGATACAAATGGTGTGTCAAGCCTTGACACACCATGTGTGTCAAGCGGTCGTCAATGTGTTAATAATCGTGCATGCAAATTTGTTACTCTGGACGAGCAGCGCCTGTGAATGCAATAAAATTGATATAATAAAGACTAAAGTCGTAAGGGTGTATCGATATTAAATGCCAGCGTAACTGCACGTTGCTTTCTTGTGCTCTTCTCATGAAATGATGGAGTAAACTCAATTGCCAGAACTGCTTACTGCGTATTATGTTGTTTTCCTTTTCACTATGAATCGAAGCTAGGTGTCCGTTATAGTAGTCTCTGCACTTCTTCTCTGCGAAATCAAATGAGGCGTGGCAAAAAAGCTGGAAAAAATACATTCAATATCACCTTACTGAAAAATAGCCTTTAAGTATCGTTCCTCGAATACTTGAGTGCGGAAAATCCTGTTTTGACAATGGATTGGTGCAATTGGGTGACTCATCTTGCGATAACATTGCTGGGCAAGAAGTAAATATTAGGTTGTCTCACAAGTTTTGTCAATTTTGACTCTCTAAGCTATAACTCACATACTTCTCAATTCTGTTGAAGTGTAGGGCACCTTTTGATAGAACAAAGCAAGCTGTACAAGAAGCCGTGTAGGCGTTTGCACCAGCTTCAGCACTTCACGAATAAGAAGCCAAAATCTGAAAACTTTTGGATGCCCAAAAAATTGAAAATTCTCTGTAACTTTGCCCGAAGAAAACTTACCAATTCCCAAACTCGCTCACGCATGTACACTCCACAGAACACAATCATATGTGCCGTTGCTATGTTTGTTTCTGTGCTAGAAACCAAGAAAACCAAAATCTTCTAGCTTTTAAAAAAAGCGATGCTGCGCTTTTTACATAGGTAGTAAATGTATACTACAGGCCTATACAAGTACAGTCACAAATTTCCAGCTTTCTATAAGCTCTAGTTCCCAAGAGATATTAAGTTCAACATGTAACACCTAAACAAAAAAGTTAGATTGGTATTTCTCAAAAAAAGCGCCTCCGGTAAGCTGAAAAATTACCGATGTATTACAGAAGGCCTGTGTTGTACATTTATCTGTGTGAAAACAGCTCCATCGCTTTTTTGGAAGCATGAAATTTAGTTTTCTCGATTTCTAACACAGAAACAAACACAGCAACTACACATATGAGTATGTTGTTTGGAGTATATGAGCGTGAATGAGTCTGGGACCTGGTAAGTTTTCTTCGGGCAAAGTTACAGAAAAATTTCAATTTTTGGGCATCCAGAAGTTGTCTGATTTCGGTCTTTAACTCGTGATGTTCTGAAGCTGGTGCAACTTGCACACCATCTTATCGAGCTTGCCTTGCCTAATTGAACTGTGCCCTGCAACATAATCAGAATTGAGAAGTGTGCGATTTGTCGCTTTAGAAAGTCAAAGAAAAGACTTATGAGACAACTTAATAGATAGATAATTATTTTTTGAGTAAGTAAGAAGACTATAGGATTTTACAACCCCTTCCTTTCTTTCGGCATAAGCTTGTGCGCTGCCTCTTTAACTTCAACTTTTACAAAGAGCAATTGCTTCAAGACCCTTTTTCTCGCTTGTTTCAAATGCAGTTTTTGGAAATCGATCATCTTCTTCGAGCCGTGAATTTATCTGTACGCTGAATTGTCAAACAAAGTTTTTTGTTCGAGCATCAAATGTACGGACTTATTTTTGAATTCTGATTTTCCTGCGGTTTACCCTTTTCCTAAAAGTCGTTTCATGCATTGTCCTTTTTTACAAAGGAAAGTTTGCTGGGCATACTTTTGAGCTGAACTCAGCAGATTATAAAAGCATGAATGAGGTTCAATGGAACATGTGATTTGACAGGTGGTTTTGTGCTCAGAAAAGTGAGGATGACAATGCACACAACATCTACGGAACCACCAATTTATGTGAGATTGGAAAAGGCTCGATGAATTCAAAATTACTCTCCGTTTTCTGTTTGAGATCATAAGTTTTTAAGCGTTGCGTATTAGATTGTCATTGCAATCTGCGTGCTACTTTTGCTTATGCTTACTCTGCAGCGATAGGATGTCAGAAAAAAATGATGACATCCTATCGCTGCAGAGTAAGCATAAGCAAAAGTAGCACGCATTAACAAGTACACTTCTGGAATTTACTACTTGCTTAGATACTTTGATGGCCTGTCTTTATGTGGCGTGCGGGCAACGGCACAAAAGTTTACATTGATCCCTGTCCCTCGCTTCTGACATCCACGATCTTCTTGGCTGACGTCGGTGGCTGCGTCCACGAGTTCCAGGTGCAATAATCGTATCCAGCTGATTCTCAGCTGGTCCATCCGTTCCACGAACAGGTCTGCCCATCTCGTTGGAGTCTTCCTCGAGGACGTTTTCTTCGCGACGAATCCACTTTGACGTCTAGTGTCCATCTGTCTTCTGTTCTTCTCATAATGTGACCAGCCCGTCGAGTCTTCGCTTCCGCAACGTATTCCACATGGTTACGAAAACAGGACATTTTTCTCATATCCGTACTGCGAAGCCCGACAAGATGTTGTTTGTGTCGGGTCATCTTTGGAAGACTGCGCTTAGCATTCTTTGGGTGGTCCTTAGAGCTTTCACGTGGCTATGGTGTCAGTCAAATTCTCAACTGCGTAACAGAGCGCCGAGAGAACGATTGAGTCGAACAGGTGGGCACGAATCAGTTGGACGGTGTCTTTCTTCAGAGGCCCGAAGGCGGCCCAGGCTGCTTTTCTTTTCCTGTTAAGTTCTTCCTTCAGGGTTGGGCCAGACTGCGCTGGGAAGCGGCATACGCAGCGTACGCCGCGTACGCTCCTATGATAAAGTATACCAAGCATACGCTGCGTACGCCGCGTACGCCGTTTTCCCAGCGAAATCTGGCTCAACCCTCAAGTCCTTCTCCATGTTCATCGAACGTCCGAGATACATGTAAGAAGACGTCTCCATAATAGGGGTGCCTTCCAATTCCATTTCTGCATCTTTGCAAAGGGCGTTCTTTATGAACTGCGGTTTTTTTCTAATTTATTCGCAATCCTTACTTTTTCTACTTCGTTTATTTCCTTCAGCGTCTCTGCTTCAGTGACACGCTCGAAAAGAGAACGATGTGTTTTTGACACTGTCAAACACTTCCTCTAGTTGGCGAGGATTAGGACGAGGATTAGGACGAGAGGCAGTCGGTATTCCTTGTGGAATTCTATGACTCTCGAAACCATTTGAATGTGGCCCATGCAGCTGAATTCTTAGCGAGATCTAGCTTGTTCTTGGAATTGGGTTTTCTTAGGGTCCTAAATATGGCGAGGATTAATCGTGAAGAGCTTATACAGCACACCTAGCAGGCATATTGGAAGCTAGTTCCGAAGATCCTCCCGTTCACCCTTCTTCAAGAGAAGGACAGTTCTTGACGTTTTCTTCCATTGGTCGGGAATCCTTTCCTTCTGGAGGTAAGATGCAGGTACGACGCAAGAATTCTCGTATAGACGCTGTCCTCCTGCTCGCGGAAATTCGACGGAAAGTTCTGATCCTGGAGCTGTGGACGTCTACATGGTGTAACTGCGGTACGCACTTCATCAGGTAGAAGTCGAAGTGGTACCTCTCCAGTGGGAACAACGAGCATCGGTACAAGGTGATGAAAGAAAGAGGTTGATGTAAGAGTTCTTCGCGGTAGATTCCATCTTCATCGAAAAGAAGGCGGGATCCCCTTCGTTCAGTAGTGCGACCAGCAGCGCGTGGAATTTGCAGAGGTCCCTTCGGCACTTCTTAAAACTTCGTCTTCCTTCGGCTGCTTCCAGTATCTTGAATGTCTGTACTTCCTGAGATCCTCCTGCAAAGCTGTTCTACAACTGGCGTTGGCTATCAATCGTTTGAGATGAGTTGCATTCGGATTCTGCCTCAGAACTTTTCTTCTTTCGAGCAAATCCTTGGTGGTTTTTGAAATCCACTCCAAGTTCTTCCCAGAAGTCACTGAGGCGCACTCTCCACAGGCTCGCAATCCTTTGAAAACCCTGTCGCAGTCGTATGTTGGGTTCTCCTCGATGGGCCAGTCCAACACTTGATATGAGCTCTTCTAGCTTTTACCGTTGTAAACGACATTCTTCCTTCTCGCGGCACTGTGACAGACTTCTTTTACAGCTTTCGACTAAATCGTACCTTTGCTCGAAGGAGGCGGTGATCGAAGCCGCTGCAGAAGGATGGAATTACTGACAGCAAGCTTGTGTTGTAGTGAGCAAACTTCAGTTTCGTTTGGTGAGATTGTGGTCGATCTCCGCCGGTTCCGTTGGGAAATTTCCAAATCCACCGGCGATGTTCTTTCTTCATGAAGATGGAATTTCCATGGAAAAATCGTGCAACAGGGAGAAGCCAAGGAGACGGTTGCCGTTTTCGTTCCAGAGCCCATATCCAAACTCCCCGATTCCATATTCCTTTTCTAGTGGCATCGCGGTTTTCGCGCTGAAGTCGCCCACAACAAACTTGAAGTTCTCGTTGCAGAAAATCTCCTCCACATCTTGTTAAAAAGCATCTTCTTCTGATTCGCCATTGCTGATGTTGGAGAATAGCAGTTGATGATGCTGATGGTCTTCTGACGTAGAGGGCGTAGTCCTAGGATGCTTAGTCGAGGTGATAGGATCTCGTGCGAATCGACAAGATAAGCGATTAATGGATGGACGACAAAGCCAACGTCTCCAACGTTATGTGATGGAACCTTGTCACCGCGAATGATGACGGTCCCATCACTTATCTGTCGCACGTCCTTCTCTGGACTTCGTTTCCTGCAGAGCGACGACGTTGTACTTAATGTGCTCTACAGCATCGAGAAGAGCGTGGAGGTCGGCGTTTGTGGAGACTGTCCTGGCGTTGTAGGTGCAGAGCATGAGGCAGTCTCCGTGGGCATCGTCGGGCGGACGTGTCGTTTTTATCCAATCCGATGTGCGCTCTGAGTACCCTGACATCGTTCTTGCTACCACCCGGCGTCGTAGGCGGGATCCGATGTGCAAGGTTTCTTTCTATTCTTCTAACTGAGGAGTACTAAAATTTTTCTCCCACAAGAGCAGACTTAATAGGCCTACTCTTGACGTCCACGGGGTGACCGCTGACCCTGGGCCGCCAGCCCCCTTTTTCTAGAATTTTAAAGGTCATGGGCCATCAAAAATTCTAAGAAACGCCCCAAAAATTTTTCAGAGTGCCTGGCTTACGCCACGCACCTTCATTTGGGAAAAAATTTTTGACGTCTCTCCTCCTCCCCCCCCCCCGGACAAAATCCTGCGACCGCCACTGATGTTACCTAAGAATTGAATAATGACACTCTTACCTTATGTACACGTTTTACTAGTTCTCAAATAAAAGACAATTTTAGCTTTAAGAACGCGAAGAAGCACCATTATTTTCCGGACAGCATGTTATAATCGACGTCACTGATAGAATAGTATCTATTTGGGATTGGATTGTATTTGAAAAGCTTCATGATTAGAGGGCTTTTTGTATTATGTATTGGCAGATTTTTCAGGTTGCCGATTTGTTCAAGATGTCATAATAACTTTTCAGATTTGAAGCGAAGTTCTAAATCCAGCGTCCACACAGAGTGCTACCCGGCTTAATTGCAGTGTAAAGAAGGCCCTAGAAGCAGATAAAAAATGTGTTGATCTGGCCTTATAATATGGCCTGCAAAAAAAGAAGATACTGACCCATGTTGAATGCTTTCTGCGCTTCACCCTTTTTTGGGTTCCACCTATTCAGAGACGATTTCTTGGCGTGTTTTGACGTGGTAAACACAGTTGATCACTGTGCAATAGTATCTCTGGTGCATACGACATTTTTTGTGTTTTGCATGAGACGGGAATGACAGGACATTGGTCCACGCTTGTCAAAATGGCGTTTCGGAAAAGAGGATTTTTAAAGTCCGCGTTAGAGAGTCAGGGCCATAAAAGATCCAAGCATCAAAGACAAAATCTGGGCGGAAAGTTTAAGGTTTATTACTTGCTTATTTGCAGAGTAGATCCCTCAACATTTGCGCACAAAGCACCAAGCTGTAATGACGCCCAATAAACAAAAACAACGTGGCAATTCTTTCACCAACGCGTTTTTTTTTGCTGCAACACATTTTATCACTTCGGCGTTTTCCATGTAACTTTTTTTGGTAGAGGGTTTTGTTGAGCAAAAAACTAATTTTAGCTTTAGAGCAAACCACGATTTGCTTCCAGAACAAAGTCAGTAGTAAGTCAAAACACTCTGACCTTATAGTTAGTAAACAAGTTTCTTATCCACAAAATAGCCGATTCGCAAGTGCAATCGTCATCCTTTCCCCAAGCTAGAAAAACCATCGCATAAAGGATAATGCATTGTGCGACAGCCATTGCCTCAACCTGAAAATTGCGGAGTATATGTCGAAATGGCCCACATGAAGTACAACAAAGATTTCGTTTCATATTCAAATTGCCCAGCAAATGAAGCTGTATGTAGAAATTCTTGATTGTTGGTACAAACAGCAGGCTTTCCTTGTAAAGTGCGAAAAAAGCACTATCCCTTTCACTCAATCTCGAAAAGTTGGCCTAAGCTTTTTTTTTAAATTGACATGAATTATAAGCCATACAGAGTCTAGCTTTTCAAAGAAACTGGACTCAAAAATTACCAAACTACCCGGCAAAATGTTTTTCATCGTTCCTTTTTCTTTTTGCTGAAGTTGAAATTACGAGTTATAGTTTGGGACTGGCTAATATATCAGGAATCAGATGAACCCTTTTTAAGTGCTTTGCGACTCGTCAACTTACCTTTTTCTGTTCGCAGATACCAATCACCAATCTCATATATAAATTCTCTATGTATGCCTGTATGCAGGTGTGTTCCGAATACAAAATTTCGTTTTTGAACTGATCCGGACCAGACTTGGCACACATACACTCGGGCGGGACCGCCGTCACAAGATACTTTTTGACGATCTATATCGTTTTTATCAATTTCCAGCGATTTTTCGGAAAGTTTGGGCTACGGAACTAGTAGTTGAAACAGGAGGAAGGGGGGGGGGAAAGTAAGTGAGTATGCTGATCACGAATACATTATTGGTTTTTGGAGTTGTCGATTACCTTTATCAATCCCATCAAAATTTCCTGCAAACTTTGAGCTATGGAGCTGGGACTTGGCACAGAGGGTACAGTCTGCCCCAATCCCAATCAGGCCAAAATTGGCATGGCGGAAGTCCGCGTCGCAAGGGTTTTGCGTCACGCCTACGGCCTGCTCTCCTGCTCTCTCTTCGCTCTCTTCACTCTGTCCGACAGCGCGCGTATGCGGCGTAAAGTAGCGGCGCTACGTGCGCGCATTAGTCAACGGTTCGGCCTGATTCCGATTAGGGCAGACTCTAAGTGAGCATGCTAATTACGAATACAATACTAGTTTGTAATGTCGATCACTTTCATTGCTTTTAACAATTTTTTGCTTGAGCTATGGGGCTGAGAGTTGGCACAAGGGGAGCACGCTGATTATGAAATAGTGGCGGCAGGGTACTTGGAACCGAATCGAATGATTATTCGATCATTCGTATAAGTCATTCGAATGCGAATGATTCGAAAGTCGAATATTAAAAAATCTTAGCTTTCGAATATTATGTGGAAGTCGGCTATTCGGTGGTCATTAATTCGATCATTCGATGGTTATCGAATATTCGAATATTCGATGTTCATCGAATGATCGAATCAATGACCATCGCATATTTGACTTTCGGATCATTCGCATTGGAATGATTTATCCAAATGATCGAATAATCATTCGATTCGGTCCCAAGTATACGAGTTGCACGAGAGAAGAACTTGTGTTGGGTCAAGAAGTTCGTCGTTTGTTGTAGTGTGAGAATAGGGATATGGTGGAATAAGTTATTGTGTAGTGATTGCAGCATCGGTCTAGCTTATCGCACTGCCAACGAGAGGAAGATTGCTTGTTGCCATGAGTGCCGTTCCAAAAGTTGTGTGTATAGCACTTGTAAAGTTTAACAATATGTATATATGTGTACTAGCGACCCTACGGGTCTCTAGTAAGTAAGCTGGGGCAAATAATATATTGATAACTGTTTGCGTGAACTAAGAATGCAAGAGAACGAATACCCATTTTCTCAACGATCTTTGTCGCAATGCGAGTAGTAGTAGAAGCAAAATCAGGCTCTCAAAGAAACTTTTGCAGCTACTAACTACCAAATCATATACGCTGTGCTTCTTGCAGATACCCAACCCCAGCTCCTAAAAATGGAAATCGCCTAAGCAGTCATCTATGTAGAACAACTGATTCGGGATTTCAGGGATGTGCGAAGGCCGCAAACACATCAACCTTCTCCGATCATGCACAGCCCTATACAGGGTGCGCCAGAATTATTTGCGCGTGTATTCTGCAACGCAAAACTTGTGCAAGAGAGATCAGCGATAGGCAAAAGGCTATTATGTTTCATAACGTTTTATCATTAAGAGGCCATAGCATGAATTGGAATTTTTGAGTGTGGCTTGACAGAAATCACAAAATATCTTACTGATTAAGTTGCGCGCAACACGCAGGTTTTTTTTTTCAGAGAATCTTCTGCTTTTTCATGGAAAAAGGCTCCTGTGATGCAAGAACACACCACCTGATAGAGCAAGTTTTTGGCTGCAACATACTGTAAGCGCAATGTTCAGGATTGTCTAACATGAAAATTATCGACGTTTAAACAAAGTCATGTGTTTGCTACTGCTCACAGCTTCACATTTTAGGGTGCGAAGGAGCGAAATTAGCAGAAATTGACTCCATATCAGGTTGGAGTTCAATTTCATCAGTTGAAGAGAACCGAATATTTACTAGACGCTTTGTGAAAGCACTATAGCATTGAATCCAGTGACAGGCACGTTTCTGTAGTTTACAAATGTGATTTGAAAACAAAACAGCCACTGACACGCGGGTGGCATTTGCGTACTTTATGTTGCCATTTTTTGAAGAATAATTGTTGGCGAACGCAAGTACTACGATTCGATAGCGCAAAGCCTCCTCTACACTGTGTACATAAAATCCCTCGAAATTGTCTCAAGAATCTCCAGTTACGGAATGAATTATAACTACCGAAAAATTAGGTTTTTGCGCCTTCTATGACAATTTCATTATTACACAAAGGTATGGCAATCACCTTGGGCACATAAAACGCTATTTTGTAGAGGATGATTGCAGTATTTTACCACATAAATTTTGATTTCAAAACTATGAGTAGTTTTTTTTCAGCACTCATGCAAAGTTGATGCGAATACTTTTGGCGCACCCTAGCGTACTCTCCTTATAATATCTCGCGAATCATTTCTTGAACCGAGACCAACGCTCGCTCAAAGCTTTCTCCTAAACAATCATCATGGCAAACATGTTCTACCGCATAAAGCCTCTGGGTCTTCCCTCCCCAAAAACCAAGACTTCCTTGCTTTTTCTACTTTCAGAAGCAGAAGTACGCTTTCTGCGAAGTAGAGCAGTCATGAGTGGATTTCAAGCGATCTTCTGCATGATTTCGCATTGAAACTAAATTTCTTAGCAAAGCACTGCCACATATAGCTCTTGGGACCTTTCTTTTTTCGAGACCAAGCTCCTTTTGCTTCTTTGTTATAGGAGGCAGAGGTATGATTTCTGCGAAGTAAAAGCGGTCAAAAGTGGATTTCAAGCGAGCTTTTGCATAATTTAGCATTGAAACTGAAAAATTCTTAGCCTAAGTACGCCATCGTATGAAGTCCTTGAAGCTTTCCTTCCTTCGAGAATTATGCTTTTTGAAGCAGAAGTACGGTTTTCGCAAAGTAAAAACGGCGAAGAATTTCCTAGAGAATCATATCAAAAATGTTTTGCCGCATGAACACCGAGTTTTTTCTTCCTTTAAGACAAGCTTCCTCTGCTCTGTTGTTTTTATTGGCAATGTAGGGTTTTCGCAAAGTAGATACCGCCAAAAACAAATGCAGCAAGTTTTGTGAGTTTTCACATTATAATTTAGTGGGTAAAAAAGTGTTTCCGTGTGGATTTGGTGGCTCTTTCCGTCCAGCAGACCGAGCTCCCTCTGCTCATTTGTTTTTAACGGCAAAAACGAACTTTTCACAATATAAAAGTATCCAAAGTAAGTATTTAGCAGATTTTTGTGAAATTCATCTAGTCTTAGAAATTTAGCAAAATGTTCCTAGAAATCTAACAAATACTACCTCATGAATCGGCTGATTTCCTTTTTTCCGACAAGACGGAGACTCCCCTGTTCTTTCTATTTCCAGAGGCCAAAGCAATTTTTTCAAAGAGAGCATCCAAATGTGAGGCTTAGGCGAATTTCCGTAAAAATGATAGGTTATATTATCTTATTTTCCTAACCTTCATAATGTTCGAAATCATAACGTCCTTTTCGAAAACTAGTGACTGTAAGAAGTTAAGCAGGATAGGAAGCAAAATGGAGCAACAGTTTTTCAAATTATAGTAGCAACTGGGGGCCAGACATTTGCACTAATTCGGTAGTCTGGAATCAATATTTTGTTGTTGTTTGAGCTCTGTACATGACACGCACTTGATCCCCTCTTTGCTTGTTTATGAATGAGGAGGTGATCTTTAACGACTGTTGCCTGCATTACCCATATTTGCACTTTCCATGCGGAGCAAGCTCTATAATTTGCATTTAAAGTGCGTAAAGTCTGGAAACTGAGTACGAACGCCGTCAACTCCACGTCGCTGTTATGAAAATCATATGGATCCTTCTTGAGTGCATACGTCAGCACTACTCTCTCGAAGTTCTCTGCACATCTTTTAGTTCATGTATCGCAGTTGTATTTCGTCGCCGCATGATCTGGACTTCCTTCGCTATCGCGAATCTGCTGTTAATACTGTAAGAGAACGCGTAGCACAACAGTAAAGCATATGGGGGAGGAGAGTACCCCGTCGCATCGCTTTGGCAGTTACCAGATTATATTATAGTAATAAGATCGTCGAGTTGTCGACAGCACGGACGGGTGTGGAGAGTTCGCTCAGCGCGCTGAGATATACTTCATGCACTACAGAGTAGTAGTCGCACAAAAGAGAACTACAAAGACCCACAGTACTTGTAACCTATCGTTTGGCCATGTTATCATATCACACAGACATTCAATTTTTCGAATGATATTCGATATTCGAATATTATTCGATAGTCGAATATTCGAAATTCTCGACTTTTGAATATTATTCAGTAGTCGAATGTTCAAAATTTCCGATTTTCGAATATATTCAATATTCGATCGAAAAAAATCTCGAATTTTCCCAAGTATACAGGGTACTGGCATGCATGGGATAGAGACAACAATATTACACGACAAGGCGTGATGATTTCTGCTATGTTTTGAGAGGACTAGGCGGAGCTGGCTATGCCAGCTAACAAGGGAATGGTCGGAAGT